AAGGAGATTAATCAGAACTGGCTTTGACAAGCACTGTGGCAATTGGACAATTAAAACAGACATTCGGAGGGCGGGGGAAGAAGAACAAACTGGGGAGGAGGGCAGAGAGAACGGTGCAGCAATGAAGGAATGAAAACCCAAAATCCCTATAAATGTTCATTAAACCTAATAAAATTTAATAATTAAAAAAAAAAAAAAAGACTGGTCCCTCTAGCTCTAGTCAAGTCACACAGCTCAAATCACCCACCTGAAACAACTTGACCAGCATGTCACTTGTCCTCCACACCGGCACCTCTGTGTCACATCGCTGTGTGACAGTGACCCTCCTGCCAGAGCCCCCAGCAGGTCTCTCTTACTTTGAGCTGCCACTTAAAAGTCACTGTCAGGCCCCCTTCCAATAGAGACCCTCCCTCCATCCTCACTGTGTGACGTCAGAGGCCTGTCCTGGCCTCTCTACCTCCTTTTACTGCACCAGCTGCCCAAGGGCTCTTCCCAGATGTGGACCACTGCTGGAACTCCTCCGAACAAAGTCCACACACCCTATGGGGAGGGTCTGGTCTTCAAAAGACCCTTGGTGAATTCACCAGTTTCTTGTCTACACTCACAGGGCCTTACTGCCTGGAGACCCTAATTCTAAGCACCCTGACAAGGTGTCCTTACACTTTGCTGTGTCCTCTACTCTGCTGGCCTGGCTGTGGCCTCCTTCCTGGCTCCATGCCGCACAAGAGCACTTTGAATTCAGCTCCCAGCACTGTGTGGGCAGCCCCCCTGCCCACCATGCTCCAATGGTCTGACTCAGGACCAGCCTTGGTGGAGAAGCAGCGTGGTGCCCTTAAGAAGGGCTAGGAGAGGGGAGCTCTGGTGGCCTAGTGTGCAATCCCAGAGGTGCACGGTTCAAAGCCACCAGATGCTCTGCTGGAGAAGGAGGGACAATCTCTTCCTGTACCAGTCAGATCCAATTTGATGGGACATACACAGAAATAATAAAATAAAACAGGGCTCTAGGAAAGAGAGCAGGGTAGGCACACAGCCCCTGGTAGCCCTAGTGGACCCAGGCAGTGAGTGGAGGGAGAGGAGGGTCCCTTGTCCTTCCGACTCACGGCTGGGATGACCCAGTAAGTAAGGTCCACGGGGGCCCAGTGGCGCCTTCTCACTAATCATGGTGTGTAGTTTCACCTGACTCCCATGTCCATCTCCAACAAACGGGAAAACCACGGCAAATGCTTGGTACAGTTATCACATGCCATCCAGTCAGAACTGACCCGCAGCCGACCCTCCAGCAGGTTTTCAGAGGCATAAATCACACAGGAGGAGATCACCCATCTTTCTCCCTTGGGACAGCAAAAGAATTCAAACCACGTGCCTTCTGGTTGAAGGCCACCTCCCTGACCACAGACTAACGAGTAAACAGCTTGGCAGCCCACGCTCACTGGGTCATGAGCCCGGGTGACTTGGTGCTGAAGCCTGATGCATTGCCCTGAGCTCCCGGCTCCTCTGGGTGATGCCGAGGCGTCACCCTCAGCCCTGGCATCCGTCAGCTGGACCTCGGTGACTCGGTCCAGCGCCCAGAATCCTCAGAGACTTCTTCACTCTTCTTCACTTCTGCTTTCACGGCCTCCTTGGGCCCAGCCTGCCGGGAATCTCCCTTTGTGCCTCAGCCTTGTGGTCAGCCTGGGGCCTCCCGGTCTGCAGCTGACCAGCCTCTCTCCCCACAGAGACATGTGTGGGTGGCCTGGGTCCCAGGGCCTTCCCCCTCAGCACCCAGTCAGGCCTCAGGCTGGATTATCTGTGGCAGCCTCCTGCCTTCCGGCTCTGGATATCGGGTAAGGGCCCGAGGGCCCGCTACCCTCTCAGGAAGGGCCACCCCCGCCCCCCGCAAGGAGGCCCTTGTCACCAGCCTGCGCCTCCATGACTGCTGATACCACAGGCTGCTCTGCTGTAACTTCCTGTGGGGGCTGGGCCTTCCACCCAGGAAGCAAGTTTCTCGGGACCCCTCATACTCCCCCAGACCCCAGGAATGTGGCCTCCACAGGGCCCCAGGCAATGTTTCTGTTTCCCTGGTCCCCTGAAAGTGAGGGAACGGAGAGGGTCCCCATGAGGCCTTAGCAGGCCCAGTGCAAGGGGTCGGAAGGGAACAAAGACAGTAGGAGGGAGAGGAAATTGGGGAACTGTCTTTTTTCGAGCCAGATTATGCTGGCGTCTGAGTCACTGACACTGTTACCGTGGGCTGCACAGTGGGGGTGGCCCGGAAGTGCCCGGGGATGACTGTGGGCACCCATGGTGCCAAGCTAGGCAGAAGGGCAGCGGGACACTCACTGATTTCCTCCACGATCTTCAGGAGCACCCCGCCGATGTGCGACTCCCCTGTGACACGCAGGGTGACAGACTCGGCTTCAGGATCCTCCTCGCCCACGAACACCCGCAGCTCCCAGGAGGAGTCGATGTAGTCTCCTGTGGCCGTCTTCATGCCCGCCATGGCTGTGGCTGCTTCTCGAAGAAGGGGGCAGAGGCAACGGTGGGCTGGATGCCAGGGCGCTGCCGCGTTCACGCAGGGGCCTGCAGGCCAGCAGGAGACGGGTCACTCGGGTGACCCTCAAGCCAGTGTTTCCTCACAGTGGCTGAGCTAAAATGCCCTTCAGAGCCTACATGCAACCTAGTCCCATCCCACAGATGGGGGGACTGAGGGTCTATGAGAAGGGGGTTCAGTCAGGATCCCCCAGCCCAGCCTCAGAGTGGGCGAACCCCGGCTGCCTGCCTTTGGACCCAGGCTGGCAGTACCCACACTGGCAGTGGTGTGAATTCAGGGTGGCCCAGCGGGCAGGTGCCAGCACTCCAGGCAACAGAAAGTGCTCCGAGACAGTAAAAGTCCTGCTGCCATGTGGAGAGAGAGGCACACCAGGCAGCCTGCACGCCCCGGGCAGCCTGCACATCGGGCGGGAGGACATGGGGAGACGGTCCTTACCTTGCCTGCCTGGTTCTGGCGCTGCAGGTGGGGATGGAGGTGCTCGCTGCTCCCCTGAAGTCTATCCTACAGGGCAAGTTTCTGTCCTTGACCCCCCTTCTTTGACTCTTCCTTCAGCAGGCAGCCTTGACTTTATCACCGCCAGAGGGCTGGCTGGCTGGCTCCGCCCTGGGTGGGTAGGTCTGGGTGCAGGAAGCAAGGGTTTCACTCTGCACCCTTGTCTCAGGAAGCAAGAGCATGGGGTGCAGAGGAGTTAAGAGCAACAGGCAAAAAAAAAGAGGGTGGGGTGTGGAGCCTCAAGCCCTGGAGGTCCCTGGGCAGACAGAGGTGGCATGGAGGGTTGGGTCAGGAACTTGGCAGGTGACTTAAGCTCAGGCGCTTCTTCCTGCTGCTGAACCCGAGCTCTGCAGGTGAATGGTGGGCCAGAATCCACAGGCCTCGGACAGGTGATCCCCAGGCCATACAGCTATTCAGATGGGATCCCGCCGGGATGTGTTGTCCCAGCCCTCAGTGTGCCCACACCGCTCAAGTCCATGTGTATGTCAGAGACACCACCTAGGTGTGCTCTAGTGGAGAACTGCCACCAGATGGAAGGCGCAGGTGCAGCGGAACCCTCAAGGCTGCGCCTGACAGGCCCCAGAATGGGGCGCCCGCAGTGGGGAGGGAGGCGCTAACTCGGGCAGCAGGAAGTGCAGTCCTCTAGTCCAGGGCAGCACCTTGGGAGTAAATGAGGGAGTTTTATTGGTGTCCCACAAGTCTCCTCTGCCCAAGCAGCTCCTGGAGCACGCAGCAGGCTGCGCTCACAGGAGGTGTGACTAAAGCCTACTACTACTTTAGCTCGCAGATGAGAGCAGTTGGCTTTTTTAGGAAAGTGAGCCCACGGCCAAGGCGAATGTGGAAGCAGACAGAACAGCTGATCCCTCCAAGTGGGAGGTGTCAGCATCCCTCGCAAAAGGAATCCTCGCTGGGTCTTGGGCTGGTGGAGCGTTATCTTAAGTTGGCTGTTTGACTTTGTTCTTTGTGCAGGCTTGAAAAAAGTTTCTTGGAACCACCCAGAATTGGACTCTAGATAAAGGAGCCTCCACCATCTTTTCAGATGTTAGACTGAGTGACAGCACCACCTACTGACCATCTTGGCAAGACCAAGTTCATCTGAAAGCCCTCTCCAGCACAGCTCACCCCCCCTACCCCCAGGCTGGAGCCCCTTCAACTCAAGAACAGAAAGCCACACCACACGTAACCACGCCCACTGGGTTGTTTTATTGAAGGTGACGTGGCCAATAACAATGTGAAGACAGCTGGGACGTGAGGCTGGGAAGAACACTCTCCCCTCCCCACACCCCCACTGTCCCAAATAAAAAAGAACCAACTATGGGAGAGCAGCCGAGACAGTGATCTGAGGGGACGGGTGGACATGGAACCGAGGGCAGCGCAGACCATGCGTGAGCTGGGAGGCCGGGGCGGCTGTACGGATAACAAGTGTGAGTCTCTGTATCTCCATGGATGTGTATAAATATAAAGAGAGAAGTTGCTTCTTCCCCTTCTCTTCTTTCTGCTCGGTGCTGCTGGCCACGGTCCCAGCTCTTTCCACATGGGGCGAAGGGAAGGGGGGTGACCAAGTCATCACCGAATCGCAATCAGACCCACGTCCATCAGCTTCTGGATCTTCTGTGCTATGACAGGGTTCTTCAAGTGTCTGATGAAGAAAAGGCAGAGTTAGGGGAATGACAGAGAACTTGAAAAGCTCCAACAGGGGGCTGACAGATGGCCACACAGCAGACGCCTCTCCCTGAAGCTGACCTCGCCAGGTCCACAGGTGGAGGACGACACAGTTCTCACCCAAGACTCAGTGAAACGGGAAATGAACCACTTCCAAGAAAAACGCACCCAGGGGGCCGCCTCCCAACAGCCTAGGGCACCCCCAAGCAGAGCTCTGGTCCACCCCTCCTGTCCACGTACTCGCTGAGCGCCTGGGGGTCCTTCTGCATCTGCTCCAGGATGAGCCGCATGGCTGGGTCACTCATGATCTGCTGCACCTCGGGGTCGGCCATGGCCCGTCGCTTAACGTCCTCAGGGCTGTCATGCCGATTGTACTGGGCCATCATGCAGCGTTGGTAGCCATCTGCTGCCTCCTGCATGCCAGCAGAGACCGAGGGGAGGGCTGTTAGCCCTACCTGGCCCCTGGTTCACCAGGTCCAATGTCCCAGAGGTTATTGGGAAGGAGAAGGAATTGTGTGCAGAACCAGAGGTGAGAAGGACATTAACTACTGGGCAGCCCCACCTTACAGTTGGAGTCCAGGTCCAGCGCCTTCTGATAGACATCCATGGCTTTCGTGTAGTCCTTCATGGCCTCGAGGGCTGCCGCCTTCCGTGTGTAGCCCTTGACTATAGACAGACATGGAAGGTGAGGCAGTGCTGGGGTGACTTCTGGCACCTTGTTACCTGTACCCCAGCAGCCCATCTCCCAAGAAGGGCCAGGCCCATACTGCTATAGACAACATACCCCTCCGCTCTCACCTTCTGATCAGAGTCAACAGACAGGGGAGAGGCAGCAGGAAAGTACTTACTGAACGTGGGCTCGAGCTGGATGCACTCCTCACAGTCCTAGGAGAAGAGAGGAGAGGCCCATTTCTCTACATGAGCTAATCCGAGGCAGGTGATCACTCTAATGGTCACCCCAGTGACTGGAGAGCACATATGTGTCCCCAGACTGAGCTGTGCCCTCCTGGAACAGGTCCTAACCCACCCCTCTTGTAAAGCGAGCCTTGTCTGGTTACTGTTCTCCTCCACCATTAGTAGGTCTCCTCCCCATGACGGTAGGGCATAACATTACCACCACTGAGGAAGAAGTCCTGTAATAGACACACACACAGGGAGTGGCCCCAAAGGCTCAGACCTGTGAGAAAATTTCTCATCAAACCCACCCACTTGTTTGGGGTTGTTTTTTTTTCCTAAATTTTTTTTTATTTTATTATTTTTGTGTGTGTGTACCGTCAAATCAGATCTGACTGGTACAGGAGGAGATTGTCCCTCCTTCTCCAGCAGAGCGTATGGTGGATTCGAACCGTGTGCCTCTGGGATTGTAGTTGCAGCTCCTTACCACTAGGCCACCAGAGCTCCCCGGTTGTTTTGTTTTTTAAGGTTGCACTAAGACACTGTCATATATCGTTTGCACCAACTGCAATCCAAAGAGATGCCATGTGTAACAGAACAAACTACCGCCAGTCCTGTCACCCTTACTGCCATTGTGACATCTGAGCCCAATGCTGGTCTATCTCTGGTCTCCCTTTTGGTTGACTCTTACTCAAGATGCAGTTCTTCTCTAGAAACTTGTCTCTCCTAATAAGTCCCAGTCTGAAGACTAGAGACTAAGTCAGTTCACCAACAGACGAGATGTGACAACATACTGGTTATGTTAAGGCATTTGTAGTCCAAGTAGGGAAACTGGCTAAGTCCATACAGATGTTACTCAGGGGTGCAAGCAGTGCAGGTTGCCCATTGAGTCACTCTGGAAATGCATGATCAAGAGTTAAGAGGTCGTGCTCGCTTCGGCAGCACATATACTAAAATTGGAAAGATACAGAGAAGATTATCATGGCCCCTGCGCAAGGATGACACGCAAATTCATTCGTCAAGTGTTCCATACTTTGGATCCTGAAATTAACGAGTGTGTAACTACGGCTAACTCCTTTCACCTACAAATTTCGTCTTTGGATACAAAGGTAACTGTGGATAGTCCTTAGGGAGGGACTGTTTTAAAAAAAAAAGAAGGCAGGAAAAAAAAAGAGTTAAGAGGTCAAGTGCTAAAACATGTATTAACTTCCTTTCAAAAGTGGTTCAGTGAAGATATTACCAGTTTGTTAACTGGTAAGAAGTGGAAGAGATCTACCAGTTACTCTTAAAATTCTTCAAACTAAAAAAATGCAGCAGTTAGTAAACTGGGCTTTAACTTCAAGTCCTTCCACCAATAAACTGGCCACAAGCAATTCCTCCATTCATTTTCTCCATTTGCACGGTGAGCTTAGTATACAACTAACATACTCATTCTCAGGCTGTAAAGTGTGAGGACAGGAAGGTACCCACCCTCCCTCCATGGAGCTGTTGGTGGAGCCAGACCACCAGCATAGACTCTGGATTAGCAGGGCAACATCTTGGATTATAACACCAGAGATCCCTTCCATACCCATGGTGGTGCTGAGACTCTTGCCCTCCTAGGTCGACTTTCCACCTTTCCAAGAATGATGTCCCTCTCTAAGGACATGGTCCTCCTGACAACAGGCCCCAAGTATGTGAGGTGAAGCTTCACCATCCTTGCATCTAAGGAACACCCTTGCTTGAATTTTCTCTAAGAAGTATTTCTTTCAGATGTGCACTGACCATTTAATACTCTTCTCTAATGTCACAACTCAAAAGGCATCAATTCTTCTTCTGTCATCCTTATTAACTGTTCAACTTAGAGATGCCCACCAAGTAACTGAAAAGACCATGGCTTGGACTAGGTGCACTTTAAGTCATTAAACTCACATCACTACTTTTCAGAACTTTGGAAATGTTCTTGATGGGAGATTTGCCCAATGCCACTTGTCTTTTGATTTGACTGTTGGTTCCAAGGGTGTAGACTATAGATCCAAGTAAAAGGAAATCTTTGATTGTTTCAATCTTTTCTCCATCTATCAAGATTGTCCATTGGTCTAAGTGGCGAGGACTTTTGTTTTCTTGGTGTTGACTTGCAATCCAATCCATGTTGAAGGCTGTAATCTTTGGGATCTTCTGCACCAAGTTGTTTTACGCCTCACTTTCAAAAAGCAAGGTTGTCTTATCTGCAAAATGCAGATTGCTGGTGAGCCTTCCTTAAATCCTAATGTCCTATTCTTCCCAGACTCCAGTTTCTTGAATAATTTGACATGTATATTGAAGAAGTACGGAGAAACGATTGGTCCAGGTATAGGTTTCACATAAGAACAAATAGGTTTTCTGGGATTCCCATTCTCAGTGCTAGCATAAATTGTTGGGACCTACAGTTAAATGCCTCTACTTAGTCAATAAAGCAGACAGACATCCTCCTGGTGTTCTTTGTTTTCAGGCAAGATCCATGTGACACCAGCAATGATATCCCTGGTGCCACAGCCTCTTATGAATCCAGCTGGAACTTGACAGTTCTGTCTATGTACTGTTCCAGCGGTGCAGCATAATCTTCAGCAAGAGTTTGCTTCCAGGTAGTGCTGGTGATACTTGCAAACCAATCTACTTCCAACACAGCGCTCATACTCAGTCATATCACAAGCTGGAGCGCCTCCAGTCAAGAGAAATCTCAGAACACAAGCAATAAAATCAAGGCAAACACAGCATTAGGAGCTCGAGAGAGCAACATTCTGTCACCTTCTCACAAGATGGCCCAGACAAAGGACACTTAGGATCTAAATATCAAGGCACGAGGAGGGGCAATGATAGGGCAAAGAATTCATCCATATCCTATTCCCAACTACTGACGTTACCCAAGGCCTGGACCAGAGGAAGACTGAGGCACTCTCTATTTTACAGAACCTGAAATTCCTAAATACAAACAAACCCCCATGTCACACGGACTGGAGGGCTTCCCAAGACTATCATCCTCTGTCTCTAATCCTTGAGCTCAAATTAACCCAGTCACCACAGAGCTCAAAGACTGGTTAGTCACAAAATATCAAATACTGACTTTTTTTTTAAAAAGTCATCTGTAGGAGACCAAATAGCCTATAACTACTTTAAAGCAAGAAAACAAGGGTGTAGGGAAATGAGACTTGTGGAAATGGGAGTAACCAAAAGAGCAAGCCTGAAAATTCTCACACGTTGTGAAGAATGTACCAATGTCACAGCACTTGTGTCTCAACTGTCAAATGGATAACTAAACTGCTATGTAAATCTTTACCAAAAGCACATTAGAAACAACCCACCCCATCACCGTGAGATGACCTCAGCACAGTGAGCCCAAGCATGCATGCCCAGGTAGCCTCACCTCACCCTCCACCCCTCACCTTGAGTGCCAGCTGAAACTCGAGGAGTTTGGTGTAGCAAGCAGCCCGATTGCTGTACAGTTTGGCATCTCGTGGGTTCCGCTTGATGGCTTCTGTGTAATGCTTCATGGCCTGGGGGTAGTCCCCTGGACAATGCAAAGGGTGCTTTTTCAAAAAATTGCCAAGAGCCAAAAACTGATTAGCAGAGTTTCCCCAAAGAAAAGGAGACACAGAAAGAGAATTCTAGTCATCAGAATCATAGGAAGTGACCAGTTCAAGGGGAAACATGCTCTGTAAACTTTCACTCAAATCATAAGGGAAAAGCAAGGCGCTGGGCCTCAGGAAGGGTAGGTGCCCACCCACCCGGAGCCACGGCTAAGCTCAAGGCACCTTTCTGGAAACACTCATTGCCTCTGTTCTTCTCCTCCAGAGCCAGGTCGGGATTGATGTAGGCCAGCCGCTCTTGTTCCTTCAGGATTTTTTCCGCCTAAGTAAAGAAAATAACCGGAGGAGTAACTGTAACATTTAAACAGGACCACAGGCCTGATCAGGATTTTCACTACTGATAAAATATAATTTAATCAAATTTTACATTCTCTATCTTCAAGGAGTACTGTGAAAAACACTTTGTGTGAAAGCACACACACGGACAACACAATGGACGTCTGGCCCCTCTTCTGCATGTGTGAATAAAATGCCCTCCTCTAGTTACTGTAGGTAAGGTAATGATGCACAAAGCTGTCTAAAGTAGGAACCTCGAGAAAGGTCAGTTCCATATGGTGACATCGCTAAGCAACAGGGTCAGCCCCAGGCAGGCAGAAGAGAGCCACTGCCACCATGTTTTGTTCATTGTTAAAGGAGGAAAATGACGCCCACCCCATCTCTTTCCCTACTCACCTGCTGGCATTTCTTGAGCACATCCGGGGTTCGGTGCTCTGCTAGAGACTTGTTGTAGAAATGGATGGCATCTTTGTACTTCTCCTCCTTGAAGTAGGAGTTGCCAATCCGAGCATAAGCTCTGTGAAAGGCAAGAAGAGAAGCATTTGACCTTGCAAGGACAAGCCAGTCCCTGCAGACAAAAGGCATCTGCATTCCCTGGGCTCTCAGGGACTCCTGCAACTCGTTCTTAACACACAGGTCCTGGAGCTGATAAGCCCTCTACCCTATACAGGGCAACAGACAATTCAGGCAACAAAGGCGCCACCCCCTCCAGGTATCCCCAGAGGCTGCCCGTACTTGGCAATCTGTCGATAGTCTTCTCGGTTCTCTCTCCCCACCTCGATGGCTTTCTCACAAAGCTCCCGGCACTTATTGTAGTCTCCCTTCTCGAAGTACACGGCTGCAGGCAGGTGGAGATGCCAAGTCAACCTTGCTCCTTCCCCCAGAAAGGCCTACCAGCTTGCCTGTTCCATTTCTGGGCCTCACCTGCTTGGTTGGTGATGTACGTCATGTTGGTGGGGTCCAGATCCTTGGCTTTGTCATAGTGCTTCAAGGCCGTGTCAAAATCCTTCTTCTTATAGGCATCATTCCCCAACTCTTTTTCTTTCAAGGCCTAGATGAGGTTTGAAAAAGTGGGTACCAAGCAGATCGAAGTCCCAGGAAGAGCTGAAACACCACAGGGAGAAGCAAGCTCTGCACATCCAAAGACTTCTGTGAAACTGTATGCGACAAGCACACGCCATCGTGCAATTTGCAGACACCGCCTTTTATCCGCAAATGAAAACAGAAGGTGTCTGGGAGGGAACCTTGGGCAAACTGACCAGTTTTTCTTGCAGCATGTGTTCACTCTGTCTATAAAAGTTACTTCACAAAAAAAGTTAGCCCACACTATAATCTATTAAGTGTGCAACTGCATAATGGAAAAAAAAACACCCCAAAAAACTTCATGTTACAATTATTTTATATATAATGAAAATAAAAAGAAATCTGTGACACACTTTATATTGACAGTCACTTTTTCATGATGGTTTGGAACCACTGGCAGCACCTCCAAGTGCCCTTGAAGACCTAAGCTGTTCAAGTGAGAAGTTACCAACAATTAGAAATCACAAGAATTTTTAGAACTACTTAAAAATGTCATTTTTACATCCTTTGAAATGCCTCCTTTGCCACCCACTCTCTTGGAACTTTGTCAGACAGTGGAGGGCTTCACCAGGAGGTAAGACTCTTCAACTGGAAATAAGTGTTAAGGGTAGTAAATTTCATGAGAAATTCTGAAAGGCAGGAGCATTCTGTCCAGGGACTGTCTTAATTGCACAGAGAAGAGGCAAGAATGCACCATAACCACAGCACAAGTCTACCATCATGCACCACCACCTACACAACCTGAGGCCTTTTCCCAGCTTAGAAACACCTAAACAACCAATGCTCACTCATCTGAAGGTGCTAAATTTGGCAACAATCTGCTGTTCCCATTTATAAGGGAAACAAAATCGCTCTGGCACGTGCCTGCTCCCCTGGAAGACACTGTTGTTAGGTGGACAACTGGAAGTTCCCCACTAAATACCATGTTCAAAAAGGAAGCAAAATACGAATCCACCAGATGCTCTGCCAGGGAAGGAGGGACAATCTCCTCCTGTACCAGTCAGATCTGATTTGATGGTACACTCACACAAAAATAATAAATTTAAAAAAAAAAGGAAGCAAAATAAACAAACAAAATGGAACCAAGAAGACAAAGGGAGGTGAAGACAGTCTTGCTCCTGCAGGGATCCGCTGGCAGCCCAGGTGTGGACCCCCACTTCTAAGTCTCTGAGAAATGTGATTTCTATCAAACTTTGAGTGAGGGTAACCTGAGGTGAGTACTACTGAGTTCCACATAAACGCAGAGCGTTCTCCTGAGAGTGCATGGAGGGTTTAACACACACGCCTAGCCTTTGGGGGGTGGTGTGGGGCCCAAGGTCATTTAAGGTCCCCAGCTGTCCCCACCTGACAGGGGATTTCTATCAGCTAAACTGGTTAGACACTCAATGCTGAGAAGTGAAAATAAACACCTGCTTCTTGTTCTCGGGAAGATCTTCTTCCATTGGCTCCGGTTTGGTCTCCTTCTTGGGAGGAGGTGGTGGCGGAGGCGTTGCAACCTCTTCCTCTTCATCCATGGTGCCAAGGTCAACTCCCAGGAGGACACTAAGCGTGGTCATGATGCGTGGATCTTGCAGTTTCCTAAAACATTGATGAGAGAAAAATACAGCAAGCCTTTTCCCCGCAGCTTCCCATGAGTCCACTTACTGCAAAAGCTCAAGTTCCTCTACACAGAGGTGTCTCACCAAGCAAAAGAACACTAGATACTGTACCAGCAAAGAGTTACAAACAGGGAAAACACAGTCTTCCAAATCTGTCTCAAAACCAGGACAGAAGCAGCAGGTTTCTCTGAGGAAGCCGGCAGACAAATAGGAGGGAATCACTACAATAATCCCTGTGTCAACTTCAGAAGAGAGCAATCCAGGCAGCGAGGATGCCACTATAAGATGTGGAGACGTGCTGCACCTGAGGCTTTCAACCCATTTCTACTTCAAACACACCAGATAGTGGGACAGCTTGTACAAGGATGGACAGAGCGGGATTAGAACTACTCACTCACAGGACAGCAGGGAAGTGTGGATCGTAAGGAATGTTCTAGATTC